AGAAGGAAAAATTAATAAATTGGGCTTGATCAAAATTAAAAACATTTTCTCTGTGACAGACTCTAGTAAGAGCAGGAAAAAAACAAACTATAGACTGGGGAAAATATTTGAAAATCACATAAGTATGTGATTAGTATGTAGAATAGAGAGATAGATCAAAATGCAACTATGAAGTCTTTTAAATGATATAGCTACTAACCTTATTATTATTATTTAAAATGTGCAAAGGGCATACAGATGGCAAAGAAAAAATTTTCAACATCATTAGCCAGTAGGAAAATGCAGATTAAAACAAGATATCATTATTCACCTATCAGAATGATAGGTGAATCAATTAACATTAACATTGATATTAACAATGTTAATAGCATCACCAGATGCCGGTGAAGATGTGGAGAAACTGGATCAGTCATAGGTTGCTGGTGGGTGGAGCTGTAAAATGATACAGTTGTTCCGGAGAGTGTTTAGCAACTTCTTAAAATTCTAAACATGCAACTACCATATGACCTAGCACCTGGGGGCATTTCTTCAGAGAGAAATGAAGATCTATGTTCACACAAATATCTGTAATTCCAAGGCCACAATGTTTGTGGAAGTTTTCTTTATCATAAAGTGCCCTACATTGGAAACAGCCCTGATTTCTTTCAGTGGGTAAATGGTTAAATCCACTGGTGTTTTGTGCTGGAATACTACTCAGCGATAATAAGAAACACACTTCCAAGTGCAACAACTTTCAGAGATTATACTGAGCAAAGAGAGCCAATCCCCAATGATCTCACTTGTCATTACTGAAATGACAAAACCATAGAAATTGAGAACAGATGAATGGTTGCCAGGGGTTAAGGAAGGGAAATGAGAGGCTTGGCTGTGAAGAAAAAAAAGGCAATGTGAGAGGTCCTGGGTGGTGGAAATTTTCTGTCTCTTGACTGTATCAATGTCAACATCAGTTATATTGTACTACAGTTTTGCAAGATGTTGTCAACTGGGTGTAGGACACAAGAGTTTCTATACGTCTTGCTTACAAACCTATCATATCTCAAAGTTAAAATTTGAATTAAAAGGGCCCTCTGTGGTGGCACAAGGGGTTAAAGCACAGCACTAGGAAGATATCGGCAGCCACTGCAGCTCAAGTTGAATCCCTGTCCAGGGAGTGACCCACATGATGCAGCAGACCTCTCCTGACCTGCCCGCTGCTCCCCTCAGCAGTGTAGCTCAGTGGATCTGTCTGTTCTGCTCCCCACTCTGTCTCTGGTGAATCCTGTCACCCCCTACACCTCTGTCCTGTACCCCAGTTCTTGTATGCATAAATAAATAAATCTTTAAAATTTTTAATTAAAAAGGGGCCTCTTGTCTGTAGCTCATCATTTATTTCCAGTTACTGATTTGTAGAAAGAAGCAGTCAAAATAGTGAGAATCCAGGTTTGCAACAGAAAGGCTAAATGTTAACAACATTCTCCAAGCTTTGTCCTCCTTCCTCATTCAGTTAGGGGTCTTGTCTACTGAGATTATTCTAGGGGCTTCCGGTCTTTCATCTATTTATCACTATTATTATTTGTTAATGCTTCCACAGGGTGAATTCACTCAGCTTCCAGGTTGCCCTGGCAACCTAAGACTAATGTCCCCACTTGTTACTAAGAGAAATTAGGAAATGATTTGCTTAGAAGCTTCTGAATACAGGTCCCACATTTTTTCCTTCCTCTTCCCAGCATCGGTATCACTGGGAATTGGAATCACTTTTTAGTTTTCCTGATCTGTAATTCCTCTTCATTAGTATCTATTTTAGGTCATTTCAGAAATTACTGACTTTTGAAAACAAGAAAAGACTCAAATCCAGCATTTTTTTTCTGGACCTGAATCTCTCCATTTAGGGCTACTTTGGACAGAATCGCAGTTTCCTCTGGGCCCATGAAGGAGTTGCTGTGGATTGGAGAACTCTGAGATTATGGGGCTTTTCTTCCTGCAAGGGGTTTTGTAATTTTTTTTTTTTTTTTGATACTTCTGGGAGTAGCAGCTCTCAGGGGACCAGGTTTGGGGCAGGAGTGGGGTGGGAGGCTGAGATGACATTGCTGCTGGTGTTAGATGCTTCCTGTGAAAGGCTCACCTCGCCCTACCCAGGGATAAAACTGGGACCCAAACCAGGCAACTAGAAAGAGGTGGCTTTGAGTGTTCAATCACCACCCAGCGTAATCCATGGTTTCTCTATAGTAGTGTAATCTAGGGGAAGTGAGGGGAAATTTTACTTCAAATTGCATCATTTGCATAGGGAGGAGGGAATCACACGTTTCAGCTACCTACTAGGCATGGTGCTGGATGCTTTGTTATGCCTTAATTCATAGAATCTACACTCTGTATCTTCAAAACCACTCACTGTGTAAGCATTTGGATGAACCCCACTATCTAAATGAGAAGAGTAGGACCCAGGGGGTAGAGATTTGCCCTGGTGACACACACCTGCTACCTAGTGGAGCCTGAATTTAAAGCCAAGTCGTTCAGAATCCAAAGTCCAGAGGCAGTTTCTTGTAATGACTAATTGGGTGAGCGCAGGCTGCAGCTACATGGATGTGGGTTGTCGAGCTGTGTGACTGTGGGCAAGTGATTTAACCGCTCTGAGTCTCAGGTTCTTCATTTATATAGAGGGGATTAAACATTGTTTTTGCAATGAGATTGTTGTGGGGATTTCAAGAGATTTTTGCCTGCAAAGCACTCAGAGTGTGCCTGGCATATAAATAAACAATGGATAAAAGTCAGCATTCATTTGTTTCCAAGAAGTAAGGGCAACTTGGTTTTCAGTTCCATCTCAAAGCACTTTGACAACCTTAATTTTTCTGAAACCATCAGAGCTCCATGCTGTCAGTGCCCTTGTTTAATTAAGATAGGAACTGTGGGCGAGGTGGGGGGGGCATTTCCCTCTACCCCTCTGGGTTCTTTTCAGCTTGGGCAAACAAGCTATTATCAGGCAGTTAGTAGTAGGGAAATATTTACAAATTTAATTTTGTCCATAGGTGCCCATATAGACATGAGGGGTTCCGAGGAAGGAAAGGAAAAGTGAAGAATCCACATCAGGCTCAGGACTGGGTGGGGGAGGAGTAAGAGAGGGTGATTCACAGGAGGAAGAGCAGACGCTGTGTGACTGGATGTTTGCCCTGCCACATAGGTAAGTTTTTCAAATAAAAAGGTTATGTCTGCTAAACCTAACTCGGGGTGAGGCCACCCCTCCACCCCTACTCGTTTTCAGTCTTGCAGGTAGTTAAGGGAGCAGTTTTCTCAAGAGCTTGCAGGGCATCCCTGGACCTCGGTAGGAAACAGCCCCTAGGTCAAAGCAGGAGTGCTGGGCTGTTCTGAACATCTCCATGGGAGCCCATTTTTCAGATAATAGCCAGTCTTTTGTAAATCACCAAATGGGGGACACTGCAGGTACTTCGCCAAATCGCATTGGCATTGGCCAGTAGTGAATGCCAAAGATGGGCTGTAAAGAACGCTCAGTCCCTGCTCTTAGCAGTGGCTGCTTGAAGGCAAAATTAAACGGCTCCCTCCATAGTATTCACACAGCAGCAGCACCCACAGCAGCTTTTCACTCAGAGGGCACCTCAATTACTAAGAACTCCTGGGAGCCTTGAAGGGAAGGACAGAAGGGTTAGTCACCACTATCCCTACTCCATTGATGAAGAGACTGAGGCATACAAAAGATGATTTTGTTCTGATGGCTGTTTTGGTTCAGGGGGACCTTGATTTACATAAAACATTTCCCAGGCTGGTGCTTAAAATGAAAAATTGCCCCGGGGAATTGCAAAGATACCTTATGCAGGGAAATAACGCATTAATTCAGTTTCTTACACCCAGATTACCCAAATCTTGGTATTTCGGAAAGGGACAATGGCTATTAACAGTGCCAGTTCGAGGTACAGACAGGGACATTTCAGAACTAGGGACACAGGCTGTGACGTCAGCAGAGCCGCTGACTCAGGCCAGTTATTTGGGCAAACGGTAGGGGCTTGGGCCTGGAAAAGGAAGGGAGGGGCCGGGTGACTTCATTTCCTCACCTGAGAAATGGGTCAAAGTGACCCCCTCCACCACCCCACCCCCCTGAGTGGTGGGTGTTAAGCGGGTGTGGCGCAGAGTACGCACACCCTCCGGTTACCAAGAAAGCGACAATGGAAAGTGGAAGAAGGGCGGGAGCGCCGGAGTCCCCAGAGGGGGTGGCCCGAGGGGAGGGGGCGGCCCGAGGGGAGGGGGCGGGGGCTCGGAAGCCAGAGGCGGGGACTCTAGAATGGGGCGGGGCCTTGAGCAGTGGGCGGGGCTTGCGGTGCCGGCCCGTGGGTGGGCCTTCTAGAAGTCGGGGCGGGGCTTTGTGGCGCTGATGGCTCAGTTCTGAAGTGTCGAGAGGGGAATCCGGGCTAGGGAGCCGGGAGGCTGACCGAGGGCTTGGGCGGGCGGAGGGCGGGCTCAGAGGAGCTGATGTTCCGCTTTTAAGGGGCTCTGAGTGTATCTCTGAGGAGTCGGGGTACGTGGCCCTGCAGATCCAAGGTGGCTCGTTGGTGGAGCGCTAAGAATCCCGCTCCCGCTAAGAATCCGAAGAGCAGTGGGCGTGGCTCTCGAGCCCGTCAGGCGACTGGAGGGCGAAGCGTGCGCTCGGGCACCACCTTCGTCCACGGCCCTCCAGCAGCCCTCCGCACGGCCAGAGGCGGCGCCAGGGGGAGCGAGGCGCGCACGGAGTGGGAAGCGGGCTTCCCCTCCCGGAAGTGGGTGTGGCGCAGGCTGCCCGGTGCCCTGGTTGGGCGCGGCGCGGCGCGGGGGCGGGGCCTGGGGCTGGCTGCCACGCGCGCGCGCAGCGTGGTGGGCTCCCCTCACCCGCGC